AAGAATACGTAAATGGAAACTAAAGAGCTGCAAGATCCAACATAAAATGCAGCCATGTCTATTTAGGTAAAACTTTATAATAGGACCGTCTCACTTGGAATCTGCGTGCCACCAAAGATGAGGAGGATTTCCCTGGCTTCAAGGAGGTCTTGGAAGTAAGGGGAGGAAACTTATATTATTGTGCATGTCATGAGATCTTGCGTGTAGTCCTGTTTTCCAGTAGCTCCATTAGTAGCAGAATGGCCAACAGAAAGGAGGAGGAAAGAGCAGGCTGGATAAAGTATTTGGTAACTGATGAGTCAAGCTGACAAACTAGCCCGTGAAACAGAACAGCGATGTTGTTTCTGTTCACTTTGTCCTGAGCTGGGTATGCTGGCCAGCAGTTGCAGGCAGGAATTTCAAGCGCTGCTCAGCCAGGTGTCTGTCAACAGTAAGTCAGTCTTCACTTGTTTAGGTTGGATGGTTTTGGATAGAAGAATTGTCCAAATTGGAGAATGTTTGCTCCTGCAGCAGTTAATACCTTGAACTTGTTAAACATCACAGGAGTCCTGGGGTTTGTGGAAAGCATTCATGCTCTTGGCTCTGTCAGCCTTTATCTAGCAAGGTACATGCTGCTTTATGATGTCTGTCACCCATATACGTTTAATCTTGTTTCTGACTGGCTTTACTGTTTAGGTGTGGTGTGCTCAGAATGTCCCTGCTCCTCTAACATGAGTGATTATCTTTCTTCTCCAGGTGTGCCTAGTAAAATGCAGGATTAGTCCTTGGTGATGCTTATGGTTGGCTGAAGTCTGGGGAGGTTTGGCAGGCTGGTTATGTAAGCCTGAAACTGCTGTTTCCTCTGCTGTATCAGCCTGTTCAGTGTTAGTGGTGAGGCTGTGCTGCACACAGGAGGTGGGTGCTCAGCAGGCTGGGGCAGGGATGGTTGGCAAAAGGAGTCTGTTGTGGGATGCAACCTTAGATCCAGGTGAATCTGCAGGCACTGAGGTGGTTATGTAGCATCTACACATGGAATATGTAAAGATATCAGGACTGTATTTGTTTAGGCTAGATTGATCCTGCTGTATGATTGAGATGCTTTAGTGTACAGATCTTTCTCTGGGCAATCTCAGACGTTGCTGCTGTAAACTGTCCTGGGGTTATGTATTGGGTATGAGTTGTAGTGCAGCTTTAGTGTAACTGAAACCCTCAAAGGTCAAGTAATTCCTGGGGGGTGGGAGGTGAGGAACTGCTCAGGGACTGTGTGGTAGCTAGGGGAGCACCGTGGGATGCAAAAGCTGGAGCATCTCTGAGACACTTGTAAGAATTTAAGAATTTCTTTTTCTCCTCAGTGTACAATACCTAAAGTCTGGAAAACTTCCTTCTGCTTCTGATGATGTGATAGGTGTTTAGGCAGAGGTGTACCTGCTTATTGGCTTATGGAAGTTTAGTGAAATAACTTGCTTTTAAACTTGAATAAAGCACACCTTCAAGATCTTAGTATCTATGCTTTCCATGCAGCAGATTAACTGCACTGAAAGGAAACCTCCTGCTTCTGAGCTCCAGTTGGAAACTTCTGTGACTTAAGGTGTATATGAAGGAGCTCAGATCCTTCTTCACCAAGACTGCTCTGACACAGTACTTCCTCTCCAGTTATGACTGTTCTTGTCTATAAATTCCTTCACCCAGTTTGTGTGCTGTGCTCAGCCTTCAGTGAGGCTACATGGCAGAAGTGACTTAGGAAATGAAGCTTCTTCCCAGTAAACACTTTCCAAAAAGTTACCTCCTGAAAAGAGCAGAAGCTTGAAACCTCTCTAGTCTGCCTGCTGGTCCTGTGGAGTTTGGTGTGGTCTTGGTCACAAAGGAGGCAATTTTATTTTTGGCCAGCTGCCTTCATGCAAGGATTGTTCCTAGTCTTATGCCAGAATAATAACCCCAGCTTAAATAATTCAATTTTGCTGCCTGTGTAATTGTTGGGAATGTCTGTGTTGCAGCTGTCTGCTTGGTTTCTATATGGTGGTTGGGATCCCAGCCCCTGTGGGAAGAATCCTACTGTGCAGGGGAGCGTCAAGTGACAGAGATGGCCCCTGAGAATCTGGCTTTCTGAGTTAGTCTGCTGTCGTCATCAACCCCAGCAGCAAAACTGCTTGCTCTACTCCAGAAGGGAGAGTGTTGCAACAAGAATCACACAAAAATGATTACAAAATGGAGTCCACAAAATAAAGATGACATTTGCATCTTGGTACAGAACTGTCGTAAGTCTTTCAGGAACTAGAAATGGATTGCATGCATGGGAAATCTGAGGGATGTAACTTTCCCACCTACTTTCTCTAGTTTTTTGTGGGCAATTTTCCCTTTTACTGCAGATGCTGAGAGCAAGATTAGATAAGATGTGGCAAATTCCAGCTTCTGTAAAGGTGACCCTTAGTTTTATTGTTCTTCTGCTGGGACTTGACCAGGGTCTCTGCTGCTGCCAGGAGGAGTGGGGACTTGCCATCAATGTCCTTTTCTTCCTCTAGTGACCTCGTCATTGTTACTAGAAGGCAGGAGGTTTCCTGCTCCACCCTACCAGTGTTTAATTGCTGACACTGAGCTGCAATAGACCATCAGGGGACACTCAGATGATTTTTGTTTTTACACTGTCTTGTAGGTAAGGGAGATTTCCTATCCCATGTAATTGGTAAACAGAATTAGGGAGTCTGCTGTGCTAATTTCTTGTTTATTTATTTCCTAGCTGTCTTGAGATACAAAAAGCATTTTCACTGCATGTTCCTGAAAAGAAAAGATAAAAGGTCCTCAAAAACCAACAACCAAACAACAAAAAATATCAGATATGTCCTAGTTTGGTGCCTCTGAGGAAGGAAGGAGTGTATGGGTAAGGAGCCTAGGATAGTATAAGGCTTCTGTCAGTAGTGATTAAAGGCCTCTGTCAGAGCTATAGATTCTCCTGCAGAAAATACAAATATAAAATTGGTTTTGACTCTGAATTTTCTTGTCTGTGTAGACAGACTGAAGAGATGTACATCACCAGGAACTGTGATTCAGGGAGCTGTTTAACTGCTGGCTCTGTCTGAGGTGTTCTGGAGTGCAGGGGATGTATAAAAAAAAATCTCTACCCTGTTTTATCCTGGAATTAGTATTTCTGTAATATGTACAGACAGCTCTTCTCAAATGTGTCTTGCAAATGGACTCCCTTCTCCCCAAGGTGGATGTTTTCAGAAAAGGAAGCTGAGGCATGGCTGAAATGCCTTGCCTAGGGCCTTGCAGCAAGTGAGGAACGAGACTGAGAGCGGGGCTTTGAACACCTTGTCACTCCTCTTATTCTGGCTGCTCAGGTGCTGTTCAGTTTTCCTGGTTTTTCCTCTCCCTATGAATGTGTAATCCTCTTGCCCTAATCTGCTCAGTGCAGTCTGTTCTGCAGAGGCACACCAGCCACTCTGCTAGTGCTCTGCAGCCTGACGAGCAGGAGTTTCTTGCAATGGTGCTGTATATGGCTATTTTCATCCCTTGTTTCTGCATCCTGTGCCAGGATTGCATGAATTTACTGGTTGATACATTAACAAGTTTAATGGTTTTATTGTTGTAAGCAGCAAACTGGAGAACAGAGTTCTGTATTTAGTGTCTCTAGGGAATGTGGTGCTTTCTGAGTTTTTGTGTTAGGAAGGGCTTCCTTTGCGTTTCTGTGCTGGAAGTTCATTTGAAATACAAACTTGAATTCTACCCAAGTAGGTGGTGTGGACACCCCACTTGTCAAAAAAAGCTTTCTCCCAGCCAGTGGCTTACAGAAACCTGCAGTCAACCCTGCAGTCCCTCAGGACTTGTTGGGACTGTCTGTACAGATGATATCTTACAGGTTGGGGAAACGTGATTGAATTTCTGCTCTTCCTCCTTTACAATTGAATTTGTGGGAGTTTCAGAATGACTGAAAGGTTAGTAACTTTGCTAGCAAGTCTGATGTGATAGTACCGCTTTTTCATCATAGTTATAACAGGTTACAGTGACTTCATGCTCTTGGCTTGTGTTGCCTGTCAGATGGGGGAATTTGGGGAGCTCAGTTATCCGTGGATCAGTCAGGCTTCAGGGCTTTCTGGGGCTTGTGAAAGAACGTGCTCCAAGTTTCATCTGGAAATCTGAAGGACAGGACAAGCGCTGCCATAAGGCTTCTGCTTCCCAGAACCTTTTGATTTCCTTTGTGACACTTAAATCCCAGCTGAGATGAACTCTAAGTGGGAGTGGTTGGTCAGGGAAGTGAAGTCTTTTTTTAAGTAAGACAAAGAGCAGCTGTTAGAAGATTTCAGTACTGAATATATAAGATCAGAGGGCAAGTAACTAATCTTTCCTTGGAGAACTAATGCAAAGGGCGGAAGCCAAAACTCCTTATGTGGAAGGAAAAGTCATTATATCAGGCAACTTTGTTCTCTTTTTTCTGGCTTGCTTTATAAATTTGATGTTGAGTTGCATCAATTAAGTGGTTCTAGGAAATATAACTGTATTGTATGTAAATCCTCTTTTCTTTGCCCTTGCAGTTTGAGAACCACACAAATGTAGAATTATTATTTTCTAGCTCAGTAAAAACAATGAAAAACTCATGACAACTGTGCTCTGTGTGTGGATTTTCTCTTCGAACCATGCTGGCAAATTCCTTCCTCCCTGAAATAAAATCCTTGGGTAATTCCAATTACTGATCTGGCAGGCTAGTTTAAGTTGGTCCTGTGAGCTTTATTGAAGTGTGAATGTCTTGCCCCACAGACTGCTAATGATAAGTACCAGTTCTGATGGTTTGTGACAATTCATTTGTCAGGGAAGACAACAACAAACTAACTTCACAGCTTCAGCTGTAGCAAATTACTCACAGGAAGCTTCATTCATTTGTCTTAAAATGACTTGAAATTGGGCCTCAAGTAACCCCAGTCTTGCTGTGCCAGCACTCAACGTGAGTTTCCTGATGTCCCCTTGAAAAGCAGAACAAAACACTTTAAGCTAGTAATAATGCCTACTTCTGGTTTTCTTTCAGGTGAATCATGATTCCAGTCACTGAATTGCGCTACTTTGCTGACACTCAGCCAGCCTACCGCATCCTGAAGCCATGGTGGGACGTCTTCACAGACTACATTTCCATAGTGATGCTGATGATTGCGGTGTTCGGAGGGACGCTTCAGGTCACCCAGGACAAAATGATTTGTTTGCCCTGTAAATGGGTTACCAAAGACTCTTGCAATGACTCAGTCAGAGGTTGGACAGCTGTAACCCCAGAGCGTACCTACTATAATTCTAGTCTTGTTCCCTCTACTGATACAGGGCCTACAGGGATCCGATATGATTTGGACCGGCACCAGTATAACTATGTGGATGCGGTGTGCTATGAGAACCGTCTTCACTGGTTTGCCAAGTATTTTCCTTATCTGGTGCTGCTACACACTCTCATTTTCCTGGCTTGTAGCAACTTTTGGTTCAAATTCCCAAGGACCAGCTCCAAGCTGGAGCATTTTGTGTCTATTTTGCTTAAGTGTTTTGACTCTCCGTGGACAACGAGAGCATTATCTGAGACAGTGGTGGAAGAGAGTGATACCAAGCCAGCGTTTGGGAAAATGAATGGCTCCATGGACAAGAAATCCTCCACGGTCAGTGAGGATGTGGAAGCCACTGTTCCCATGCTGCAGAGAACAAAGTCTCGCATTGAGCAAGGGATTGTGGACCGGTCTGAGACTGGCGTCTTGGACAAAAAAGAGGGTGAACAGGCCAAAGCACTTTTTGAGAAAGTGAAAAAGTTCCGCACGCATGTGGAAGAGGGAGATATAGTTTATCGCCTGTACATGAGACAGACCATCATCAAAGTGATCAAGTTCATTCTCATCATCTGCTATACTGTATACTATGTCAACAACATCACGTTTGATGTTGACTGTAAAGTGGACATTGAGAGCTTGACTGGCTACAGGATGTACCGCTGTGCTCATCCTTTGGCTACTCTCTTCAAAATCTTGGCATCTTTCTACATCAGCCTGGTGATATTCTATGGCTTGATCTGCATGTACACACTCTGGTGGATGCTGAGGCGATCACTCAAGAAATACTCCTTTGAGTCTATCCGGGAGGAGAGCAGTTACAGTGACATTCCTGATGTGAAAAACGACTTTGCTTTTATGCTCCACCTGATTGATCAGTATGACCCCCTGTACTCCAAGCGCTTTGCTGTCTTTCTGTCGGAGGTGAGTGAGAACAAACTGCGGCAGCTGAACCTCAACAACGAGTGGACTTTGGAGAAGCTGCGCCAGAGGATCACCAAGAACTCCCAGGATAAGCTGGAGCTGCATCTCTTCATGCTGAGTGGCATTCCACCTCATTGAGCTGGAGGTCTTGAAGCTGGAGCTTATCCCTGATGTCACTATTCCCCCAAGCATTGCTCAGCTCACCAGCCTTAAGGAACTGTGGCTCTACCACACAGCTGCCAAAATTGAGGCTCCAGCCCTTGCCTTCTTGAGGGAGAATCTGAAATCTCTCCACATCAAGTTCACAGACATCAAGGAGATTCCTCTTTGGATTTATAGCCTGAAGACACTGGAGGAGCTTCATCTGACAGGGAATTTGAGTGCCGAGAACAACCGGTACATTGTGATAGATGGGTTGAGGGAGCTGAAGAGGCTGAAGGTGTTAAGGCTGAAGAGTAACCTGACCAAGCTGCCCCAGGTGGTGACGGATGTTGGTGTGCATCTTCAGAAGCTTTCCATCAACAATGAGGGCACCAAGCTCATTGTTCTCAACAGCCTTAAGAAAATGGTCAACTTGACGGAGCTTGAGCTGATCCGCTGTGACTTGGAACGCATCCCTCACTCTATCTTTAGCCTCCACAACCTGCAGGAGATAGACCTGAAGGACAATAACCTAAAGACCATTGAGGAAATCATCAGCTTCCAGCACTTACATCGTCTCACTTGCCTTAAGTTGTGGTACAACCACATTGCCTACATCCCCATGCAGATAGGCAACCTAACCAATTTAGAGCGCCTTTACCTGAATCGTAACAAGATAGAGAAGATCCCTACCCAGCTCTTCTATTGTCGAAAACTTCGGTACTTGGATCTCAGCCACAACAACCTGACTTTCATACCGCCAGACGTTGGACTTCTTCAAAACCTGCAGAATCTAGCAGTGACAGCCAACAGGGTAAGTGAGCAAGGAGCTGAGCGTTCCTGTGTGAGTAAAAGTCAGTCTGGCACTTCTGTTATCTGCGTGATTAAACATGGTACAGTGGTGTGTGAAACACTCCTGGCACTGCCGTTCTATTTAAATTCTCAAGCTTTTGTTTCTCTTTGAGGGGTTTATCCAAGGCAAAACATCACAAATAACTCCAGGGGCAGGAGTCTTTCTCAGAACAGTCCTTGTTCAGTAGCACTTCCTCACTTAACAGTGAAACTGCTTATAAGTGGCAATTGGAGGCTGTTCAGAAATCCTGCCTGCCAGTTGTTTCTCTGCAGTTGGAAGCTTGTAGTCTCTACATTGACATCAGTTTTGGGCTTAAAATGGAGATCAGAGAAACTCTAGTCTTAATCTAGAGCTAGGCATTTAAGCCTATGTACTTCAGCCATGTACGTGTCCTAGATGGCTGCTGCCACAGTCTGTGTGTGTGGCTTACAGCTTTGCTTGTGGTACATTGCATTTCCAGAGAATGCTCCATAGTTTGGTTTCATTTTTTGTGAGAAATTAGATGGGGGCAGCCTTACAAAAAATGCTTCTTAAGCTCTCACTTTTAAAATGCATTGTCTTGTTTCACAAAGGTGATGTTGGAGAGAGCAGAGCAATCTTCTGCCGTGTTCCTTACTCAGAGCAGAATAAACCTGGTTTATCAATTGGCAGTCAGTTAAGTGTGCAAGTGTGAACTGTGGCAATTCCTTGGCTTTCAGAAGGCAGGAAATACGATGGTACGTTGCTATGCCTCAGTATGGCTGTGGGTTTCCTTGTGTAATCCTGGATGGGTTAAGTCTAAGCCTTAAGTGTTTAAGTCTAAGGGCAGGGTGACCAAGTGTGCTATGCTGCCCGATTACCACCTCTTTCTTGGCTTTGGTTTCTTGCCTTTGTGTTGGAGGCTGTTTATTTGCTTAAAGCAAACTGTACCCATGTTTTTTCCTGAATCTTTGTTCTCGTGCTTGGGATTAAGGAGACTCAGTTTACCCTGTATCACAAAGATCAGTCTGACCGCACAGATGGGTGTGCTGAGATGTGCTGAGCTGAATGTCTCGTTGAAGCTTTTACTCATTCTGTCTGCAAATTCCTGGGAGGTTCTTTTTCTCTTGGAGTTTATTACCACCTGAAGTTGCAAAAGGCTCTGACATAACTACAAATTGCAGACAGATCTAATTAGTGGCTTCTGGGTTCTTCTGGGAACATGCAGTGGAGTTGTCCTGGAGCAGTCCTAGTTTTCATCGCCATATATCAAGATCCTTACTGGTGTTGGCAAGATGTGTTCATAACTGAGCACTGTCAAATTGCCTGTGAGAGGCAGACAGCGCAGCTCTACTATGGTTTGGCTTTTCACAGCAGAAATAATCTCAAGTATTTAATTGCTTGTATTAATAGTATTTAATTGAAATGCAGTTCAGTGTTACACAGGGTTTCTAAAATTCCAGCCAGCGTTTTGAAGTTGGTGTCTGAGAGCTGAAGTCTGTGTGGTGCCACTGAAGTGTAGCAGCCGTTCAGCTGTCCCAGTTTAAGAGCTGCTCACTCCACTTTCCCAGCACTAACAGACTGGAAGGCTGTGCATCTGTTTGGATGGGTGGCTTGAGCTCTGGTAAACTTCATGGTATGCACACATCATTTCCTATTATGTTAAAACCCAAAATATTTTCTCAGGGCAAATGGGGCTGATGTGGACAGTTTCTGAGGGTGGCATTAAGCAAGGATGAGGGAGTTTGAAATATTCTTAAGCCACTGTTCAGAACTTGGGTAATTCTGTACCATTTGTCTTCTGGCAGCCTTCGTAGCACAGCTTCCCGAGGGTTAATTTGTGATGTCCTCTGCAGTCTTGGGGTGGAGCCTCTCTTGGATGGAAAGGAGTGAGAGGCAGCTCCATTTTCTGCAGCACAGCGTGGCACCACCCATTTCTTCTGAAAAAACGCTAATGCAACAGGAAGGCTGGAGCAGCCTTGGCTCCAGTGTGTTCTGAAGCAAGAGGTGATGAGGACCCAGAGAAACAGCTGAGCTGTTTGAATCCTCTGCAGGCTCCTGGGCAAGGCCACAGTTGCCCCAGGGCTCTGACAGCCTGGTTACTTACAGTAAACAGTGACTGCAAGAAACACAGGGACTGGTAGGCTGGCATTTCCCAAGGCCAGGAATTATCTTGAATGTGCTCTCATGGCTCAGCAGCCTGAGCAAAAAAAGGTCTGGAGTTGGCTGCTACCAGTGTACTGTTCTGGGAAGCAGGCTGCATAACACATTGCTTCCTTCCTAAACCAATACTTGTCCTTTAAATAACACTATTATTTTCAAGAGTCTGTGATCATTTGATTGCATGTTGCTGTTTGCAAAACACTCGATGGCAGCAGTAACAAAGACTGAATTGAGCTGTCTTTATTTGGCCTTGGCCTTTCCCTGGGTTTCATCTCATTCAGAACCGATTACAGCCCAGTTTAACCATGAATTATATAATGCATAACTTTCAGTTTTAAAAAGGGCATGGTTGCATTTAAAGGCAAATGATAGCCTCCAAGATGACACTCTGAATTAAGGGGAGAATGCTGAATTGCTACGTTCAGTTCATAGCCTAGTGTTCGTTAAGCCTTAGCCATATTGTTTTCCTAGAAATTCTTTTGGAGGACTAGACTGTTAAAAGGCTTTAATAGAAATAAGCCTGATTAAATTAGTGACTCATGGATACATGAAGGTGGTGGTAGCAAAGCTAACAGCTGGTGGCTTCATTGTTTGCCTTTTTTTAATTGTTGTATTTTGGCACTGTCAAAACCCCCCTGTTTGGAGCCTAGAAAGTCTTTGCAACATTTCAAAGCCCTGCAGAAATTATGGAAGAACAGTCCCAGTTCTCAGGGCCTGGAGATCGTACCCACGTATCCTCTGTGCTTATTACAGCAGAACTGAGAGTGGTGACTAAATCCAGTCTTTGTGGTGGTCAGTGTGACACCAGTTGTGCAATGGCTACCTAAAGCAAGGGGGCTGTGATCCAGTGATGGTATAAAGGGTTTGGGATGGAAAGAAGCTAATACTGGTGGGAGTATGTGACAGTATAGGCCAGCTGTGAGTGGGTTACTGGTCCTCTAATCCTGTCCTTGGTCATGTCTTTCTGCTTTAGCCACCATAATTGGTGATTTCTTGTAACTAATGCAGTGGAGTGTCTGAAGAGGAATCCATACAATCACGGTGTAGTGACTTCCTGACTTTTACTTTGGGAACAGCCCTTATGGTGGGAAGCAGGAGCTCCCTCAAGTGAGAACTGGGTGATAGAAAACAAGTGCTTTGTACACCTTAAAGCACTCTGTGGGCTTGTTGGTCTCTCATGTGTCTTTTTTGCTAGTGACTTTGCCTATGATTGATTGCTTCCTTTTTCTCCCAGATTGAGAGTCTCCCACCAGAGCTGTTCCAGTGCAGGAAGCTGAGAACCTTGAACCTGGGAAACAATGTGCTGCAGTCACTTCCATCCCGGGTTGGAGAGCTGACCAATCTGTCGCAGATAGAGCTACGAGGGAACCGCTTGGAGTGCCTGCCTGTGGAGCTGGGAGAGTGTCCTCTGCTGAAACGCAGTGGGCTTGTGGTGGAGGAGGACCTGTTCAACACGCTGCCCTTGGAAGTCAAAGAACGGCTGTGGAGGGCAGACAAAGAGCAAGCTTGAGCCCCTGAGAAAAGGCAAAAGCCTCTGACCAACTAGAAGGAAACAAAAGGCCATTCCAGTCCCTTTTCCCCAGATCCTTCCCTTTCTCCCCTCCGATCACTACCAGACTAGCCAAGGAGTCCCTGAACAAACATGACTCTGAATGAGGCAGCTTCTTGCATCAGCTGCAGTATGGGGGAAGCTTGGGATCAGAACAAGGATCACGACAGATCAGTCTGCCTCCAAGCAAGGGCCGGTGGGAGTAAGAGGTGTTGCTGCTGTTCTGGACAGGAAGTGGGGTGAGGTGGATGGTGCTGGTGAGAAGAAATGACCTTTGAATGGAGGAGAAAATGAAATGTGGGGATTGCTGCATTGCTCCAAATGGGGCTTATATGTGTCAGGGACTGAGAGCATCCAATGTCCTACAAGCAAAGATCAAGAGACTAGGAAACCTCTTGAACCTCCATCTCTTTCTGTGACACCTGGCACTGGTCCTGTCTGGCTCAGAGATTCAGTCAGTGAGGTCCCACTGGGGTGGGATAGGATACAGACAGCTGATTTTATCTAGATGCTGGCATTAGGGTTTGGGGATAAACTTATCTCAGACATCAGCTTGAATGCAGGCTCTTTTTGTTTGGTTGGTTGTTGTTTTACTAATTGTCTTTCCCTTTTGCACTTCACACCTTCTCCTCTGCCCTTGGAGAAGGAACCAACTCCCCCCTAAACTCATTGAAGATTGCACTATTTTAACAGTTTCAAGTCACTTGTGCTGATGAGTAGGTCACATAGCATCCACTCCAGCTGATGTGCTCGAGGCACTAAGTGACACAATTCCAGAGTTCAGCCTGTTCTGAAATGGATGGTTACAGTGCAAGTGGGAGAAGATCTGGATAAAAAGCAGTCGGGCTGTCTAATGTACTCTCCCAGAAGCATGGAGTTGCTTCAGGATCTGGCTTTTAAAGTTTTTAAGCTACTTTTAAATTCCTGGTATTTTTGTCACATATCAAACATGAACATACAACTGGCCAATGTGTTGTGGTCTCTCCTGGGGTTGGTGGTGTAAGTAAAGAGGAATGCCCAGGTTTCCTCTGCACCTCTTCCCCCTCCCCATATTAAGTTGTGATCTGCTTTGCCAGTGTTCTTCATGAATGCAGTCTCCAGAGCTGCTTGCTTGTTCTTTTCTGTTGTCCTCCTCACTTTAACAGCTGTCAGTTCCTGTTACACCTCTTGACCTAAGTAAGAGGCTAATGCTGATTGAACTTGGTGCTGGAAAATAAACTGTCCTCCTGTTCCTTCCCCTCTTCATTCCCTCAGCATTAAGGAGCGGTGTGAGAATCCTCTGTGGACTGAGCTTCTCAAGATCCCTGTGACAGAGCAGTCTTTATTGAAACAAGTCTGACCTGTTTGGTATTGTTTGACAAAAAAACCCCAGCATTCTGCACTGGCAGAGGTAGATAACTTGTAATAGCTACTGATAATCATGTCCTTAAGGTGGGGTGGTTAAGGTGTGCCTACAATACACCTGAAGTCTGCTCTTTTCCATCAGAAGGAAGAGGAGGCTCGGCTCAGGGATCTGCAGGTTCTGGTTCTAACACTGTGTCAGACCAACGGGTTGGCTCCGAGGTGGAGTGCTGCAAGCTGAGGCGTGGGAAGTTTTGGAGGCCTCCCATGTGTACAAAAGGGGGAAGCTGTGGCCATCTCCAGAGTGGTTCCTGACAAGCCACCAGTGAGCACCCTGGCTTAGATAATTGTGGTGATCCCTTGGATGCTGGGGCAATAAGGCACACTGTGGCTTTCTTCATCAGATGTAAGATATGAAATATATACACTAAACATGCTGAAATCGTGAACAGTGTTAACTGGGCTCTGGATTTGTTGATGTTCAGATGCTGAAATAAAGCTACATTAAAATCCAGGAGATCTGTTTATAAAACTGCTTTTAAGAAAGATGTAAATTCTGCCTCCCTTAGTCCGTTCATTATGAAAAGTTTAAACAGTCCAGGGAATAATCTAATTAAATCTGTTTATCTGGAAGGCAAGGTACTGTAAAAGCTCTTCTTGTGTCTAACAGGGTTAGTGTCTTGAAATTGTGTTAGGGTTGGGGCCACTGCTGAAAGGATGAGGCAGTATAGATGCTGACGCTGCCTGGATTGTACTCATTCTAGTTGCACGAGCATTTTGGATCAACGTAGAGGACAGAAACTGCTAGGTGGGCTTAATGCTGCTGAAGTAAAGCAGGAAT